GGGGGGAGCTGGGGGAGGGGGAGGCGGAATCTGTTCAGGTCGGTGCTGCCCACTCCCCCCGCCCACCCCCGTTTCCCTCCGCTCCCTTCCTCTGCCTTGGCGAGAAGGAGGGACGAGCCGGCCCTCTCTCCTCCCCCTACCCCCGGCGAGGCCGGGCCACTTATGCGGTCCCGAAACTTTCTCACCACGTGGGCGCCCCGGACCCCCGCCCAGCTGGGCGGTTGGCGGCACCGACGGGCTCCCAGCCCAGGGTCCCGGCGTTCTCTTCCTCCCCGCGGCCGCGCAGGCCCTGCCCCCGGCCCGGCCGCCGCCCTCCGCGCCCGGGAGAGGCACCTCTCGCCGCCGCAGCGGCCCCGGACCTGCCTGGGGTGCTCCCTCAGGGGCCGCGGCGAGGCGGAGCGAGTCGACCTCGGGCGCCGCGGGCTGGCTCCGCCAGTGGATGTCGCTCCCGGGCTGCAGTGCCCGAGCCGGGCGCCCCGGGCCGCCGGCGCACTGGGCGAGGCGTGGGCCCCGTGGGCTGGAAGGGCCTGGCCGGCCGCTGCCTATGCCGGCGGCGCGCCCCGAGGAACTCCTCGATTGCTGGGGGCACCGGCCTCGTCGCCAACAGGCCTCCGAACTCCGGGCTTGGCAGGCCGCCGAGGTCTCCAGCACCACTGCCGCCACCACCCCGCAACTGGCAAACCTTGGCTTCAGACAGACCCGGGTCCCAGTCGAGGCTCAGCCACGGCCAGCTTTGCAGGAGTGACCGTGCGTAGAGTCTTCACATTCCAGTCCCTACCGCCTCATCAGTACCTGGGACACAGTAACGCCTAACATCACAAGGGCTGGTGGGGAGCCCCAGAGGAGGCGACCGGGCCAAGCTCCTCCCAGCACTTAATAAATTATGATTCCAAGGCCACCGTTCTCAGGCCGCCAGACAAGAGATGCTGTCAGTGGGCACCAGACTCCCAGCCCCGTCCAGAACCCCAAATGCAATCCGTTCTTTCTGTTCCCTCCTCGCGCCCCTACCTGGGTATGGAACTGCAGGACGGTGCTCCCGGGGCGCAGCAGGAACACGGCCCTGCCCTCTCCCCGCAGTGGTCCAGGCCCCCACCCACCGTGGCCGCGCTCCGTAACAACGGGACTGCACGGAGGTATTTTAAATTTCTTAGCATATTGGGGAGCCCAGGACGCCCGAGGTGGACCTCGGCCTGCAGCTCAGGGCTCGCCCCGCCCCCGCGGTCCCTCATCTCAAGCTTCTCTGGCCAGCCGGCCGCTGTGGCGCTCGGCCCGGACCGCAGCCTCGCCGAGGCCCGCAAGTCTGGAGGCCGAGCGCCCCCTCCCTCCCGATCCGAGGAACCGACCCGGAGGTGCGCAGGGCCGCTCCCGAGGTGCAAAAAGGGGGCTGGTCTGGCTTTACCAACCCAAAGTCGGAAACAGGGGCCCAGCAGGGGCCCCGAAAGGGCAGCCCTTTGACTCCTTAGGGCCTTCTCCAGATCCCAGTCCTCTGCCACTCCCAAACTCACAGCACCCCGTGCCCTCGGGTTTCCACCTCTCGCCCTGTCCCAAAGCCTGTGACCCTTGGGCAGAAAGGAGATGCTTCTGCCTCCTGGGCAGCCTGGGCCACCACCTTCTGAACCAGGCCCGACCCACCTTTATGATTTTCCTTGCATCTTCCACCGGGCACACATGCTGTGGTCTTCTGGCTCTTTCCATCATCACAGCCCCCAACCTACTGGGCAAACTCATGCTCAGTCTTCAAGACCCAGCCCAATCTCTCCTCCTTAGTGAAGCCCGCCATGGCCTTCTGGTGCCCTGAATAGCCATTTGCCGGGTTAGGCCCCTCAGCCCAGTGCCTGGCTGTTACCTCTTCACCTGTCTGTCTCCTGTGTGGGGCCTCAGGCTCTGCTGGACAAGGACCAGGCCTCTGTCTGATGCCAGACCCGGCAGACGGTCAGGGGAGCTTTTACTGAACGAAAGTTTGGTTGGTCGATTGATTGGGAGAATTCATTAGGCCAGTGAAGGATTTCACACCCCTGATCCTCAGCACAAGCTCGCAGTAGCGTTCCTTGCCTGCTGGGTTACAATCCTTCTTATTGTGAGTTCCACCTGGTCTGGACAGACCTGGGGGAAGAGGGGAGGGCGCCACACCTTTAGGGAAGGTACAGCATCCCGCCCATCACCCTGGCGCTGGGAAGACGCAAAAGGCACCGTGTCCTTGCTGGTAGGAGGAGGTTGCGAGGAGGGTCCACATTTTGCTCCCCTGATGGAGGAGCTCTCAGCCCCGCTGCCAGTCATCTGCTGGGAGGGAACTGGGTCAAGCAGTAGTCAGAGACCATCTGCTCGAGAAGCTGGGATTATCCCGCCCTCTGCTGATCCCCCAGCCCGCAGGAGCCAAGGGTGTAAATTGAGTTCTTCCAGATCACCTTGTGCTTTGGAGGGGGGAAGCCCCCCATCCCCCACTGAGGGGCAAGGACCTTTTCCTGTTGCTTCAAAGCTTCATTTAGCACTGGACTCCATTCTCCCTTAGATTGAGGGTGACCTCAGCCCTCAATCTGAGCCAGGGATGTGACTGCGCCTGTCAGTTTTTTGTGTTGTTTTTTGTTTTGGTTTGGTTTTGGCCGCGTTGGGTCTCCGTTGCTGCAAGCGGGGGCTACTCTCCGTTGCGGTGCGCGGGCTTCTCATTGCGGTGGCTTCTCTTGTTGCGGAGCACGGGCTCTAGGTGCACGGGCTTCAGTAGTTGTGGTGCACGTGCTCAGTAGTTGTGGCTCGCGGGCTCTAGAGCGCAAGCTCAGTAGTTGTGGTGCACGGGCTTAGTTGCCCCCTGCACAACCAGGGAAGCTCCCCGCCTGTCACTTTTGAATACAGTAATGCACAGCAACACTGCAGCCAACACCCTCCACCCGGGCTGCAGGACCAGGCCGCCCACACACAGGATGCTGGCTCCCTGATGCCATCAAGGAACTGGGGCCCGCTGGGGAAGGCGGGAAGAAACATGGCGACACCATGGGTACAGGCACACAGAGTACGGAGAGGGCTTCGTGCGGGGAGCGCAGAGCACGTGCTCTCACAGTCGTTTTGGGTTTGGTTTGGTTTGGTTTTGCATAACCCGTAGCTCAGTGCCAATTTGGAGCTGATGAAGATGGGCAGAAGTGGCAAAGCAGACTGTAAAAGTGAGCCTCAGCGTGCAGTTCTTGGCTGCACAGCCCCTGCAGAGTGTTGGGCAGAGTCCCTCATGGCAGTGGGCACTCGGGGCCTGGGATGGAGAAAGGCCTCTGTCTGAGTTGGGCTCAGGGACCTGTGTTCACTTTTCCACCACTGGTCGAGAAGCCACAGTTGCCAGACCTCACCATCGTACATTGTAACTCTGTAGAGCCCCTCGCCGTCTGAACAGAAGAGCTTTCGTGCCAGACCAGACGAGACGGCCTGCCCACCAGCAGCCCCAGGCACAGGGGCAGGACAGCCTGGAGCCAGGTGTTAAGCAGGGCCGAGCCGGGGAGCCGCAAGGGCCCAGTGACCACCAGCTGACCTTTGTAAACGCCCAGGCACCAGCACAGAGCCCTCTCAGGAAGCCCCAAGGCCGCCTCATGTCTTTGTGGTCCCGAAGGGCAGCTGGACGATGCCCACCTTCCGAGAGCCCCAGCAGCCCACCACATCCTCAAGTCCCCTGCCGTGGTCTCCAAGGATGCTGGTCATCTCTGAAACTCAGGAGCTCCAGAGCTGAGGCCGCCTATGCTATGGAGCAGCCGTGCCCAGCACCCAGCTTGGTGCCACGTGTGAACCGAAATCGGTGCATCCCACGTACTGGTGATGCACACACGGTGCATCCGTGTGTGACCTGGACATTGGGCCTGGGGTCCAGACGCAGACCCCCAAGTTGCAGTGGTCCCACAGGGCAAGCCCGCCTCATGTGTGCCCCTCCCCTGCTTCCCACCTGGCACAAGCATCTGACACGGGCACATCACCCCCTCGCGTGGCCCCGTGCTGTTCCTAAGCGAGCTCCAGCACAGAACCAGCTTGCAGGGCTTTGCAGGGCTTCTCACCTAGTCGTTCCCCTTGACCTGACACTCTCGCTCCCAGCCCCCTGAAACCTACTGTCTGTTAGCGGGAACCACACAAATCACTGGGTTCCTGGTTCCATTGTTGGGAAGAGGCTGGCGTGAGGGGAGGTGGGGAGCCCCCTCCGCTTCCCCGAGCAGGGCTGGGGGCGGGGGTGCCGGAGGCTGTGCAGAGCAGGATTCCACATGTTTTGAATGTTCAGGAAGTATGTCAACAGCAGGCCCCATAGGGATATGGCTGCCCAAGTTGGTATATTTTCTAGAAAAGTAGAGGTGCTAAGTACACCATTCGGTGAGTGTCCCACTTCAAACTGCTTGTCACAAACTAGTCCCGGCCCGGAATCCCTGCCCATTCACTCGATGACCACGCTGAGCTACCTGCTGGGGATCCAGCAGCACAGAATCAGATTCCCGACAATGGTCACCTTCCCCGCGGTGTACTGGGGACACTGGTCCACGCACAGGCCGGCTCAGCAGCTAGCTGGCACCTGCAGGGCAGCGGGGGCCAGGACAAGGAGAACCTCCCTCTGCCGGGCGTCTCAGAGGACGCAGGATGTGAACTGAGCCTTGAAGCGGAGAAGGCTTCCCCCAGGTGGACGGGAGAGAGGGAAGGTCGGCCGGCAGGGGAGCCCGAGGGATGAGAACATATGGTCCAGGTGAAAAGCAAGGGCGAGTCCACAGGAGCGAGGCCGAGGAGGGGCCTTGTCCACCCAGAAAGGGGTGTCAAGGCCAGGAGGGCGTGTGGCCCCTCGAGAGAGTGTTTGAGGGACACCTTGGCAGCCCTGGGGGAGGGGGGGCGGGCTGGGAGACCCCCCATCAGGGAGGCAGTGAGGACCACAGGAAGGGTGGGTGTTGGCGCCTTTCCCATAGGACAGGAGGCCTGGGCAGCTAGTGGCAGGTGGGCGCTAAGCAGGAAAAGTCGAGGCTCTCCCCCCGCCCCAGTTCTGCCCTGAGGGGTCCTGTCTACACCTCCTAGATGCCCAGAACACAAAGAGCTGCTTATTTTGTAGCTAACACAGGGCAAGGGAGAATTTCCCAGGTTTCTTTGCTTTGGGTCTCCAAACCCAACTGTGTCCACTTTGGGAACACTTGGGTCCCAGCATCAAACTCCCCTTCAATGGCATTCCTCGGTCCTCAGCCATTCTCGAACTTCAGAGCCAACCTTTGCGTCTGCGCCTTGAGGCGG